CAGACTGTTTTACCCTCCCTGGCCCTGACCCCATCTGCTCCCCCAGCCCGGAGGAGACGACTGCCACGTCCCCGTATCTGCGGCGTACTCCCGCTGAATGGAGGCATCGCTGACCCCACCTCAAGCGCGGACCCGCGGATCTTACAGGGGTTCAGTAGCATGCTGTCAGCTATCCCTACTTACTGAACCCAAACCTCCCTGTGCAGGAAAGAGCTTTGGCTTCTTGCTACTTTTTTCCCCCTCTACCTTCATTTAAGGTTTGTTCTTTAACACAGGATTTGGGCAAGCTCGCTGCTGTGGATGAAATTCTTGCACCTTTTAAATGAGTGAGCAAATGTCAGATCCCAGCTGGCACATCTCACTGTGTGCCAGGGATATCATTTCCAAATTTGCAGCTGCTAAACTTACGGGTTATTGAAATAAAATTGCAGGAAGGCAGCGGTGTTGTTCAGGCAGGTCTGTGCTTCGGCTACAAGTCTCTTCCTAGGAAGGTGCCCACACCAGAGCCTTGTCCTTTGCCATTCAGGAGGTTGGCTGGACAGAGATTTGCAATTGGTTTGGCCTCACATTGCTGGGGAAGAGGGGGGCGCCCGGGAGGAAGCAGAGGTTACAGAGGTTTTCACGTATCATCTCACCTCTGCAATGGGCTTTACGGCCAGCCGTTGCAGCCCTAAAGGGAATTAATTTCCACTGGAAAGGAGGTCTGCCAAGTCTTACAAACGCTTCAAACACCTCTGCTCTCCCTGTCGAAGGAGAGATAAGAAACAGCATAAGCGGCTTTAAACCCAGTTGGGCCTGTTTGTAACTCCGGTCTGACGCAGGGAGTACAGGGAGCTTTTGTATTCCTGCCCGGAATGCGTTGGGCCTGCAGGTAACCAAGATGAAGAGCTTCGAATTGTTGTCTGCGAAGATTTAACCAGGTGATAGAAAGACCCAAAGAATTTCAAAGGCTGCTGCCAGCATTGAAAATCATTTAGTAGCAAAAGCTTTAGGTCTCCATGCAGCCACGGAGCTGAATGACCCCATGCCTCTTCAAAAGCGTAAGATTCCTGTACAAATTCGTGTAGGACAGCAAAAGAGACGATGATTAACTCAATTTCATGCAGCGCGCAGAAGAGAGTATGGGGCAGAGTAAACAGCCCTTCCCTTTGCTGAGCTCCAGCCATGGGGAGCAGCCCAAGCCACTGGCACTGGCTAGGGTTTCACCACCCTCACTGCAAAGAATTTCTTCCTTAGATCCAGTCTAACCCTACCCTGCTTCAGTTTAAAACCATCCCCCCTTGTCCTGTCCCAGCTGGCCCTACTAAAAAGATTTTCCCCCCCTTTCCTCTGGGCTCCCTTTAGGTACTGAAAGGCCGCACTCAGCTCTGCCCGCAGCCTTCTCTTCTCCAGGCTGAACCCCCCCAACCCCCCCAGCCTGGCCCCAGAGCAGAGGGGCTGGCAGACGTTGGCTGCAGCGCGTGTGGCCGGCACACTGTGCCTAATCTGGGTGCTACACCGATGGCGTTGCTGCTGGGGCTGTTCCCCCTGCTGCTCCCCACAGAGATCAGGCTGCCGTAGCTCTGCTGCTTCGCTTTCTTTTCTGTCTCCTTTTTTTTTTTTTTTTTTTTTTTCCTCTGAGGGGGGCGAGGGGGTTGCACTTCTTTGTGATTGCTAGTGATTTCCTGCCAGGTGCTTTCTCTGGGAAATATTGCGTTTAAGCTTAGCCACACAGGTCTTTGCTGAAATGGAAATTGCGCCTGCTGAAAATCTCATGCAACACAATCTTTTACACTGAGAAATGGTGTTGTATATAATGTTGTGATTTTCATTGTATGGATTTATTTTAGCTTATCAATAAATACAAGCATAATGTTGTTTGGTAGAAAGCATATTGAAAATACCTACCTTGTTCAGTGTAGAAAGCAACACCACTGTCAACAACAACAACGAGAACTAGAAGTGTGCTGCAAGAAATTCATAAAAGGCTAATAATTCAAGCAGTAGGATTTGCAGCGGGCTGGAGGCAGGCGGTGTGGTTTGAGGAAGGCAAGATACCAGACTCTGCGCTATGGGATGGAGAGAAAACATTCAGTGGGTGGGAGGTGGCACGTGGAAAAAGCAAATTCGGGACCTTTTTACGCCTTGAATTTACTCTGCCAGTTTCTTTGTCCGCTATCTAAAAATTCAAAAGGCACGTGGTCAGTTATAATTCATAGGCTTAGTCTGGTAACGTGGTGCGCTGTGTCCTGGTGGGTGTGGAATATGGTTGCCCTTCCCACACTTCACCATTCTTTGAGTTTCCTTGGCCTTGGCGCAATGGCCACGTGGCCGTTGCTCCATACCTGGCGTCACTGCTGTTGTCTAGGTTTTGGGGGCTGGGGTTTGGGGTAGGTTTTTTTGTGTTTTCCTTTAACTATTAGTGTATATTCTAAAATGCTGTTGTAACCTTTGCGGGCCAGGACACGGTACTGGGGACTGGAGCCGTGCCATGTCTTTGCTCAGAAGGATCCTTCCTTTGGTGTGCCTTTGGCAGAAAGCCACTAAATATGGAGAGGAGTCCCTGCAGGGAAGAGGGGGTCACTTACAGTTCAACCCTGAGCAGCTCCTAACGATCAAACCCATCGGCAGCTGAAGGGTCAGTGGGGTTTGGGGGTTGAGGATGGGGACAGTGCCCATCCCCACCTGCTGCCCAGCTCCTGCCTTGGTGTTGCTCAGGTTGCTACCCCGCACATTTGGGGAGGGGCTGTAGGGGTGGAACGCTGCTTTTTACCCTCCTGGTGTAATTGGTTTTGACAACAAAGCTATTTTAAATGCTCCGTGGATGTGTGGGTATCTTATCAGAAACAAAGTGGCCTCAAAGAGCTGTTAAACCAATTACAGGAGTCATAGCTCCGCGGCAGAGTCAATACCAAGTGGCACTTGAAAAGAGCACAGATTGCTCTGTAAGGTCAGGCAAGGCACGGCTAAATCAATGCACCAAATTGAGTCAAAATTTTAGAGTAGGAAAGTGAGAGGATGGGAAGGGATGCAGGCGGGGTGGGAATGTGTCCTGCGGGAAGCTGCGCCTCGCACCCTGCCCCGCACCGGGGGTTAACGAGCCCCCGCAGCCTCTTGGCTGGCTCTTCAGCCACCTCGGTTATCAGTTTCTGATTTCAACTCCTTTCCAGAGGCAGAGCACTGCAGTAGGGGGTTGCTGGGGCTGATGGGGGTCGGTGGTTTGGGGCCAGGCCCCCCTGCCCTGTCCCCGCGTGCAGCACGGGGAGCCCTGCCCTGCTCCTGCCATGGGATGGCGGCTCCCCAGCAGGGAGGGGCCTTTGAGATTAACCTGCTTTCACGAAGCCACGCATTTTCATTTTTTAGGTTTGTTTTTTTTTTTTTGTTATTTTCATTGTTTTCCTTTCACAGCGTGGCAGAACGTGCTCTAGCACACCTTGGAATCAGTGCTTCACAGGTGGCAGTAATAGTTGGCTTTTTTATTATTAGTCTCTCTCGCAATGTAAATATTTTTGAGATTTACACCGATGCGGATTTCCAGAGGCAATGCCT